ACATACTGTCATACTTTCATTCATTTCATTTTATTTCATTTCAGTGATTCCATGACATTAATATGACATTTGAAAATGAATGGATTTCTTTGCACAGAATGGGGTATAGGCTACATATATTTACGCAGGAGAGCTGGACAGCCAAACTGCAGGTTCCTTTCATTTCACCTGATGGAAATCTGAAAATACAAGAGGCTGGATTACCAAATTTGTCTTTGTGTATTTATTAGGGGCTTTCTGCAGAAAGGATCGACACAGAGAGTCACAGGGATCTCAGAGTGCCAATGGAGAACAGTCAAATGCAAGCATCTTATACAGAATAACTATAAGGTTGTTTGACTGAGCCAGTTCAGACTGGTTCTGTACTAAATTAAGACACACTAAACTTTTTGTGTAAGTTAGGTCAACAGAAAATAGAAAGGTCATAAAGATTTCAGTCACAAAAAGTCAAGGTCATAAAAGTCATAAAAGGTAGAAAAGTTACTTTTCAACTACAATATTGTTTCCCACCTCACTTTTTTCTCCACTACACACCTGAACTGATGTGCTCATATAAACGCATGGGAGCTAATGAGTTTCATGGCACAAGAGGAGCAACATACTGAGGTAATCCTGCGTAATTTACATCTGTGCTAAATTACTGAACAGCCACGGCTCTAAGGGTAAATCGAAGTAAAGCGTTTAGCACCTGCGCATGATCATCGGCTGTAAACCGTCGAACTCCGTGACAGGGGGATACTTACACTACCAGAATGACCAGTGTATTCCCAACACGCATGTAGACACACACCCTTTCTTCTCATTGGCTGCAGATGGTCTATGCAACCAGGTGGAGTCGTGCGTCCTGGTGAGCGCAGCTCTGCGAGGACAAAACCCCAGTGCGCTGCTGCAGCCGCAGGTGTCGTACTGCTGGGCTCAGGCTGATCTGCTGAAGGGATGGCGGACACTCAGAGACCCACCGCCGCAATCTCATTCGTCTACAGGGGAACTTTCATCCACTCGACGCAGAACACGGCCGTGCAGATTCTGGAAGACGCACTGCTGGGAGTGAACGCAGAGGGAAAGGTTCTACAGTCTTTTTAATATTTGATTATATGATCCGTTTTCTTAAAAACCAAAACCACGGGGTCACCTCTTGGCATGGAGGTTTTTATTGATATCTGTCATCTGTTGGCTCACTGTGACTGTGCGTAAAAAACAGGATTAGGCAGACTAGTGGAGCAGATAAGTCACATAATCGTGCATTTGGTGACACAAGCATGAAAACTGGTATGAGCAGTCTCCATGGGTCACTTGACAATAAAATTGTCCCAGCCACTTGAAATTTCAAGATACCAGCTACTCTTTGAGATTGCCACCTGGATCTTTAAATAATATATTTTCTCATGTTAATTTGAGTTCCTAAAACGGCCAAGATTGTTAAAAAAATAATAATTTTAAGGGCTAAACAAACAGACAGTTACTTATCAAAAGAATACTAAGGGACGGGGAAACAAAAAGGAAGATTAGTAAAATATCACAGCTGTGGTGCTGAATGTCCAAAAAAGAATTGAGCAATTAGTACTGAACGGTAATATAGGCAGATCCAGAGGCAACAGCAGCTCTGACTGACACAGCCGTGGAACCATGACAAAGTGAAAATATCTCTCACAAATAGAAAGTAGAGGTGCTGACATTACAAAGTAACTTCTCAACTAAAAATATCTCTCACTGGTAATTAGCCAGTGGAAAACAACACTAAAGAACTAAATTAAAATGTGAATCACTGTTAGAACTGAAGACACACTGATGTGGAGGTGTGGAGCAGAGTCATAGGTCTACACCAGAAAACACAGAAAAATGGCCACCAACTTGAAATTTCAAGTGGCTGGGACAATTTTCTTGTCAAGTGACCCATGGAGACTGCTCATGCCAATTTTCATGCTTGTATCACCAAATGCACGATTCTGCCTAAAATCAGCTCTTAGCCGCTCCACTAGACAGGGATCTGTTACTTAATGCTTTATACTTTAAAAAAGAATGATACTCTGAAGTGCGGCCTCTGCAACCAGGCTACAATGAAGGAGATTTAAACCAATACAACATAATTAAAAACCAAAGGAAAATAAATAAATATATCAAGTGGACATTGTGAAAATCGAATAAAATTCAAAGTGAAGCATCAGACATGTACACAGTGGTGTATAGGCTGACATAAGAATACATTTGAAGTTGCTGATATACTGTATGATATATGTATGACAAATGAATGCTGCATTAAGTAGACTGATGTTTTCAGGCCTCACTGCTACTTGTATGCAAACATGTGTTTGTGATTATATTTGATTCCTGATGCCTTCCTTTCATTCTGCCTTCAGGTTGCTTTCATTGGAAAAGGAGAGGAGTTGCACAAACTGTCTCAGACATTTGGGTTCAGCCAGTCTGTGGTGACTCAACTGACACAACAGTAAGTATGGTTGGTGGTTTAATCACTGGATAAGTAGACTTGTGGTTCACAGTAATCAATGTGCAATGGCCTCAGGGAGTTAGAGAGTATGGCAGTTAGTCTTGACAGATAGTGAGGACATTTGGACTCAAGTTTCCCATCTCATGAACCAGGTGTTGGTACACTGCTGAGTCATGACCTAAGGGGGTTGAACTTACATTGTTGAACGATGGGTTTATGTAATATTTATTTATTTTCAATGCTACACAAGTCTGTGAATCCCTGACTGCTTTGGATTGCACACTCGCGTTGTGTTGTGGGTGTGTTATCTTTTGCATGAACCAGTTTTTGTGCCAGCACGGTTCTGCATGGGTGTAAAAAACACAGAAATGTGACGCTTGTTGAAGTTTCTCCTGAGGTTCCAGACATATGCACAATCTTCACCAACTGCAGGGTTGGGACCAATACCACAAAGGTCCAGTTTTGGTAGAAGCAGACTTTAAGTGCATCCTTCAGGTGTTTGTGCTCCTGGTGCACCAGTTAGTACATTCTTTGCTTTGTGGTGAAAGGCGTTGTAGGGTGTGACTCATGTTCCATTGGGTGATGACAGTCAAAGAGTATATCTAGAGAATTTAATTTGTTGAGTTCCAAAGATTGAACATGGAACATAAAACAATATCCTTAAAATATGTCCATGCCTGCTCCACTGCAGTGAGTTCTTCATGCCAGGATTGGTGGACACCCACATCCATGCATCCCAGTACAGCTACGCAGGCACGGCCCTGGACCTGCCCCTGCTGCAGTGGCTCAATACCTACACCTTTCCTGTGGAGTCCCGCTTCAAGGATTTGGAGTTTGCCAACAGGGTCTACACACAAGTAGTGGTGAGTTTGCTGGCGTCATGAAATAAGTAATGTGAATTAAAGCCACACAGAAAAACAAAACTGGGCCTTGCTTATGGCACAATGCAATACCCTGTGCTGTGGGAAAAATGTAAAAGCAGTTTCTCTGACAACTCGACCCTAACCTATGATTTGACGAGGGTGTGAACAGCTTGGTGACTTAACAATGTATTGAGAAGAGAAGGAATATAAACCTTAACCTGTAATATGATCCCTTTGCATTACAGAAAAGGACCCTGAGAAATGGAACAACCACTGCATGTTACTTTGCTACTATACACAGGGACGCCTCTCTTCTGCTGGGTCAGATTGCAAGTAAGACATACACACACACACACACACACACACACACACACACACACATACACACATACACTGGCCCTCGTCGGGTGTGTGCATGTTTTTTGTCTGTGATGTGGACTGTGGACTGAAATGTTGATTCGTGTTGTGAAACCATTTAGGTGACGTGATGCTGATAAAGTCTAAATTACATCAAAAATATCCAGCTCATAGTTTAAAATGTTCACCTTGGAGCAGGTGTTTTTTGTTCTGGTTCATACATACAGAAAGATGTCCCTGTGAAAAAAACTTAATGTTAGCCTGTCCCCCCAAGCACATAGTTTTCTCCACATGTCAGAGTACATGGTTAACCTTTGTCTTTTTCCATGTGTTTAAGCTGTGCCATTATAAGCAGAGCTGAAGTAACAATGTGCCAGACAGATGTTGTGGGTCCTGTATTATCACTTATTTTGTTCACCTTTAGGCCTTGTACCTTATCATGTGATGTTATGCAACACTGAACAGACACACGCAGGCATGCATGCACACATACGCACACATACACACATGCACGTCTCTCTATAACACTCATTGACATAATGAATTACCCTAACCCTAACTTAAACCTGAACCTAACCCTAAAACCAAGTTTTAATCCACAAACTAGCCTTTGAACTTGTGAGGACCAGCCAAAATGTCCTCCCAATGTCAAAATGTCCTCCCAATGTCAAAATGTCCTCACAATGATGGTATTGAACCACAATTGCTACTCATAACTATACACACACACACACACAAACACACACGCAGACACACGCACACACACGCACACACACGCACACACACATATGCTGAACCCGTACACCATCCTTAACCTAACTGTAACCCTAACCTAATTCTAACACTAAAATTAACCTAATCCCAACCCTAACCTGATTCTGGAAATGTGGATTAATAAGGGATGGAAATATGTCACACCCACCATCTCTGAGTGCCTGTGCTTGTTCAGAGCACTGCGCTTTTTACTTCAAATAAACCTAAACCTAATTTTAACCCAAACCTAATTCTAACCCTAAAAGTAAGTCATAACCCTTGAATAGCTCTTGTGAGGATCAACAAAATGTCCTGACTTTTTTCTGATACAACCATACTGAGCACTGGCAGCTTTACGTAGTTATTGTGTGTAACCAGGTTCATTGAACCCTCACCTTTGTCCTGTTCTGAGCAGCTGTCCCATTTTGCAGAGGACTGTTGCAATTTAACAACCATACAGTATGTGTATGTATGTGATGATACACGTGATTGCTTTGAATTCACATGTAATCTCTGTGTTTGTGCAAATTCAAAGTAAAATTTCAATTTCAATAGCACCTTTCAAAACCAGTTGTGTGTGTGAGTGTGAAGTAAGCAAATAAGAAAGAGATACAGATAAAAGACCAACATTAAAACAGTAAAATAAATTATAAAAAAAAGTAATATAAAAAAAAGATATGGAACAATATAAATGAGAACGTGAATATCAAACATGTCTCAGATACCTTGTTCACATGTTATGATCATGCTATCATGGTTGTGATGTAAGTGCATCAAGTTGTATTTTCATGCTCGAAACGTCCCAGATGAAAAAAGTTCGGACATGTTGCTTGATGTTTTGAACTCAGTGCAAGCTCAATCATCCTTATTTTTCCTGCAGATGACTTTGGACAGCGTGCCCTGGTGGGTAAGGTGTGCATGGACAGGAACAACGCGGTGAAACATTACAAAGAGAACATCCAGGAGTCACAGGACGAAACCTGTCGGTGGGTACATGCAACTCTATTCTACTGTGGAAGCCCAACAGAGATCAACAGTGTCATAAAAGTAACAGATGTTTAGGAATAGAATTTCTCTTTGGGCAATAACTTATTGCATATGTCCATATGTTTGACATCCATGACGCTCTAAGGTTACACATCTATCGTGATGTAATGCCTGGTGGAAGATGATTTAATGGTTCCTGTCAAGAAAGGTCACGGTCAATAGACATGCGTACTTCAGGATGCTCTTTGTACAGAGGCTGAATACATTCCATGCGTTCTACGTACATCAGCTACGTCTCATGTGTAGAGTGTGCTACCCCAGAGAGCTGCAGTATATAAACTCTTCACTTCTCTTTGTCTGCGTCGATCTCTTCTCGAATGCTGAGAACAAACATTGACCCAGCGCTGAATTAGCTTTGTCTTTTATTAGCATTGGGTTGAGGTTTAAATTCCTATCCTATTCCGATTTTTAATTGTTTTGTTCCCTCTAGGTTCATTGCAGAGCTCTTAAACAAAAAGGTAAGGTTTTATATTAAGATAAAAAGAACGATTCAACAAAGCAAGTAAAACAATCACAGGTCTGCATTATATTCTTCTATTTTGCCCTCCCAGTACCCCCTTGTGAAGCCGGTAGTGACTCCTCGCTTTGCACCATCTTGCACAGGAGCCTTGCTCGGACAGCTGGGAGCAATCGCTAAGAATAACAACCTGCACATTCAGGTGAGCTCGCTGTGGTAACCAAACCAGGCTATGTTCACTGGGGACCGTTACCATGGAGACCATTTAGTATTTGGACCTGTGGGGGTTGTGAGCAATGACATAAACAACACACTTACACTTATGCAATGCAGATGAATGAATAAAGTATTTTCAGATTAGCATTTGGCATTTGGATCCTCCTTCTTAACCTCAAAATATATTTTTCCTGGGCCCCAAATCTAAAAAATGCTCGCTCAGGAATGAGCCACAATTATAACATCATACAGCTTTTGTAGTTGTTTTTCTAATGTAGCTGTTTCATGTCTGATGTGTGTGTTTATGTCCAGAGTCACATCAGTGAAAACGTCGAGGAGGTGAAGCTCGTAAAGGAGCTGTTTCCTGAATCTGAGTCGTATACGGACGTCTATCACAAACACAACCTGCTCACAGACAAAGTGAGAACACATCACTGCCTGCACACGCGCACACACACACACCCTACGCACATCTATGTACATCTGTCTTAGTGAGGACACTCATTGGCATAATGCATTCCCAAGCCCCTTACCCTAACCTTAACCTAATTCTAACCACAAGCCTAAAACCAAGTCTTGACTCAACAGCCCATTAAAGGTGATTCAAATAGGGAGGACACACACAAATACACACACAAATACACACACAAATGCACACACACACACACCCACCTCTCTGTGTGCAAAATAGAAACTCTATGAATCCCTGCTTAAATGCTGAACAGGGTTGATGTAATTTGTAACGGGATTGATTCACAGACAGTGATGGCCCATGGCTGCTACCTCAGTGATGAAGAGTTGGATCTGTTCAGAGAGACGGGAGCCTCTCTGTCTCACTGCCCCAATTCCAACTTTGCGTAAGTATCCAGGTGATTCTCAAGACTTGATCTATGCCCATGATGATTAACATAAGAAGTAAAATACAAGTAAAATAGAACATAAGAAAAACAGTGTGAGGCATTATTAAAAAATCCTGAATGAATATATGTAATACAGATGACGCTTCATGGATCCTTGCACTAAAAGAGGTCGTAGCAGCATAAAAGTACTGAATCTATCAACTGATAAGGAATGAATCCAGTAGTCATGTCTCTCTCTCTTTATTTTTCTAGATTGTGCAGTGGAATTTTAAATGTCCGCAACGTCCTGAACCACAAAGTGAAGTTGGGGCTGGGAACAGGTTGGAGCAAATTCACATTTTCAAGTGCCACGCCGCTTTTTGACAAACCTTTGCTCCGCTTCTTTAAAAAAAAATCCTCTCCTCTGTAGACACAAGCATGCGTGTGAGCTGTTGCATCATGTGGTTCCACATAATGATGTAGTGAGTTCAGTCAGCTGAAATGTCTGGCACACTGGTCAGATGATCACGTTTTTAGTTTTATTTCATCATTCATCTAAAAGTAAATCCAAACATCTGATTCCAGGGTTTCTTCGGGTCACTTCAATCATCCAAATTTTAGAGAAAAGTCTGGAATATTTTAAAATATTACACATTACATCTTAGATCAGGCTTTGGTCGGTCTCAGTTATATCAACATTCATGTCAAGCTACTTTCGTAGATATTACAAACAGGATCAATGGGGAACTCATATCTATAGTCTATCCGAATGTATCACAGTTCACTCTCCCTCTGGCTCTGGGGAAGATTAAGGATCCTGTCTCTGCTTTGAGACATAACAAACTATTTTGAGAGTTCTCTACCAGACTACTTTCCTTTATCTTCCATTACGAGGAAGTCTAAGTCAGTCTGTCATATTTGACAGAGCTGTTTCATTCTGTTCTTAAAAAGTCTTAACTTAAAAATCTGACATTTTAAAATACACATGCGGTGAATGCCTGTGTCTGTGTTCTTAAATGTGCCTGTATTCATGTGACCCACCTGTGTTTGTGGTCTTACATCAGACGTGGCGGGGGGCTACTCGGCCTCTATGCTGGACGCTGTGAGGAGAACTTTGGATGCGTCTAAAGTCTTGACCATCCAGGACCCAGAGCATGTTACGCTCACCTTTGAGGAGGTGTTCAGACTGGCCACACTGGGTGGCAGCCAAGGTAACGCACAAAAGCAGCTGTCACTCAGTGTGTCGAAGAAACAATGAAAGCACAAGAGTGTTCAGCAACTCTTTGTTTCAAGCAGTGCTGATTTTCTTGCTCAGGTGCCTGCACCAACGCCAAGTGACTCAGCAGAATCAAAATACATGAACAGAACATGATGTATTTGTTGATGATGACTGATGCAGTTTTACATGAATTCTCAGAGATAGTACAACAGTGTCTTTGACTTTGTGTTTCGTCTGTAGCCTTGTCCTTGGATGACCAAACAGGGAATTTTGAGGTGGGCAAAGATTTCGATGCCCTGAGGGTGAACATTGTTGCTCCTGGTGCACCCATCGACCTGATCCAGTGCGAAGGGCCAAAGGTTGGTTAATGAGCACCTTCTTTATCCAGCGCTCGGCAGAAACAAACACATTAACATACAGATTTATAATAGCAAAAAAACATCCATGTTCAGACTAATCTATCTTTATTTTACTTTCAGATTCTGTTGGAAAAGTTCTTGAACTTGGGTAAGTGTCCATTACAGTTTATATTTCCTAACTTTTCAGACCCTCACACACCAAGCATTGCTCCCTGCATGTTTTTCAGTCAATCAAACTTTATTTGTGCACATCAACAGAATAATAATATCTATTATCCATGAGAAAATACAGTCTAAGCTCCATGTGAGAGCTTGACAGCTGAAGGCTCCTGAATTCTAGGAGTGCAGTGCTCTAGTGGGGTGATCTGGTACTATGAGCTCTTTATGGATTGATGGCACCATGTCATTAAGGGCTTTGCTGATGAGGAAGAAATTACAATGCTATTCCAAATGTATCTGTGTTCCTCTGTTATAGGTGACGATCGTAACATAGTGGAGGTGTTCGTAGCCGGGAGGAAGGTGGTACCTTTTACAGAACCAGTGGAGTAAAGCTTTTGAAGTCTCTGCACACTTCCACCTGTCTCGCAGTTTAAAACACATCTGAAGATATAATAAACTGTATGCAGCAAAGGCACGATCAGCTGGAAATGACATGTGGATGCATCAACTGGTGTACTGTGTATTTTATCTGTATAGACAAGTCAAAAAAGAAAATTCATGATAAATATTTCAGTGTTAAATCCAGATGTTAGAATAGATTATTTATGAGATTAAATGAGGGTCATACAAATAGTGTTCATCAAAAAATGTAGTCTTTTCCTAAAGAATTATAGGTAGTTACTGGTCATTACAGGGAATAAGGGACTTGCTAAATACACCTTTTCTGTTAGTTATTCAGATAGTTAGTTGGTTGCTCATTTTTGCAGAATGAAATATATTTTTAGGTTCTCTTTGTTTATGTTAACACCATTGTAGACTAACACTTTTTACATAGACACATTATAACTTACAAAGATACAACTATTGGTGATTTTAGCCTCTGCAGTGTGTTAACAACCACAGAAACATATTAGTGTTGGACTAATGCAGACTGAATGACTGCTTACAGCGGGTTAATGGTCCCATTCTCATGCTAGTGTAGCTAGAAAACAGACTAATAATCAGACTGGGATTGCCTTGATTTAAATAGTTAGAGCTCATTCTGTTTATTTTCACTGCACACTCCATTCAAATGCATCCATTCATGTCTTTAAAATGACACAGTTTATGTTATTTACTCAGTGTCACTTTTCCACTTGTCAGTCTGCTCCATGTACAAACTGAAACTAGGATCTTATCTAACATGTAGCTGCACTAATGCCTTTTTGATTTGGTCAAAATCCACATCCTGACTTGACCTTAGTGAAAGGGAAATAAACCTGGTGTCTCATTGACTATAGTTTTGTTATACTAACCCCGCATTTATATATCAATTCTAATGGTTTGACCTCTGAGAGGATTTTAAGGACCATCCAGATTAAATACACTTTATGTATTTATATTCCTCTCTATATACTAATTGTCAGGAAATCAAGGGAAATGAAATGCACAACTTGCTGAATATGTTTTTGTCCAGGTGAATGCGGATGTATTTAAGACAAGTTTCCCTTTTTTACTGAAATATTGCTAATTTTATTATCACGAAATAGAACTGAGACAGATGAGCACATTGTATATGTTTAAGATTCTCTCCATGTGTCACATCATGAGAGATCGAAATAAAGAATACCAAGAAGTCTATGTTGATTTTTTTTCTATTCTGTAGTTGATTACCCAGCAGCTTCTCATCATTGATCATGGCCCAGAATATTTGGATAAACAAAAATGCCCACTGACCCCTCCAGTCGACTAACGGAGCAACTCCTTTAATAGACCATCTTCACCATCTGGGTGAGACAGCTCAGAGTGTGAGATTGCAGAGAGACATGAAGAAGTCTATAATCACGTCCTGCTGACACCAAGGCCCCTGCTCCTCTTCTTCAAATAGACCATTGGAGAGTGTTTGCACTCCAGGGGTCATGCTTATATTCAAATCCACTAGAGGGGGACACTGTACCTGAAATACGAAGATTACCACAGAAATCTCCTCTAGTGGTAAAGAAGCCATGAAAATAGTTTCAGCAATCACATATATTAGAATAGTTGTGGATCAGTTATCCTCCTTAGTTTGAAGTAATAACATGTAAAGTTAACCAGGATAGTGAGCAATCCATTCAATAAAATAGCCTAACATATTATTTTTTATCAATTAATATGCAACAGATGCCAGTTAGCTGCTGGTTAGCTCTGGTGCAATTGCTTTTGAATGTACATTGTCACTATAAAAATAAATACAATACAAAATATATCAGTGGAAATAACAATAAAAAGCCTTAACGTAATACACTGCTTATGTACAGACAGCCTTATAGTGTCAGCAAGGATTGGCCCCCCACTACCCTCAAAGGATAAGTGCAGCAAAGAAAGGATATAGTATTAATATAAATACATGCACACAGTGAATACATGCAGTCTGTACTCAACAGAAGCCTTATTATGAATTCAATTATACGTTACCCCAGATACACACGTCTTGTTTTTTTATTTTATCAGCATGACTCGCTTCCTATAAGATTAAATAAAAAATATGTTTTGAAATTTGTTGAAATTTGTTAAGAATCTTTGTTTGCTAAGTTTTTCTGAAGTTCACAATGTGCTTGAACAAGGAACAATGTCCAAAGGCCCTTTCCCAGTTCTTACCTACCCCTAGATATGACCTTTCCCTTGGAGGGCCCCCCTCCAAACTGAACTATGTTACTTCAGTAACTACAGTTATTATATTAACAACTGTCATTGACCAACAACATAACAGTGACACATCTTACAGCTGCAGGACAGACGAGTGTATTAACATTGGTTATGTCAATGTAATGTTGGTCCAGTCCATAGAAACTTCTGCACTGAAAATGTTCTTAAATGAGCTGGGAAGTTTTTTTCAAACTTTATATATGGGACACAAGAGCAATGAACGTTACTCGTTTCTCTCACTCAGGCTGTTTACGTGCCTGTTTTGAAGGCGTGAATAGCAATTTTCCTGAAACTCACAGCTATTCAGTTGCATTTTCATTTCCTACTGGATTAAAATAAGTTATTGTGCTGGATTTAAACATTTTGACATGGTTATTTTGATAAGATATCGGTCACCATCTTTATTTAGCTACTTGACACAATACGCTTGAAGTGCTGGATGGCCACTACCTATAGAGAAATGGGACAACGCTACCCCTTCGTGGCCACACACAAAACAAGGGGTAGGACCAAGTGGTCAGGGGTGAATTGGGACAGGGCAAAAATATATCCAAGATGTGTGACTTTACTCAAACCTAAAGAACCAACTGTTAACAAGGAATAACTTAAATGTTCCCCTTACTGAATCAGGGGTTGTAAATTGTGCCCCCCTGATTTAGTAAAATCCTTGATCCGCCACTGTATCAAACAACCATGAACCATGAGTTACTGCCCCTATTTTTGACTTTCAGGAAGATATAAGCCACCCGGATAATGTCCTGCCCCATCATCTATCAACTTATCAATATGTCTAGACTAATTGCATGTTGTTTATTTAGTTTTCAGTCCATAGCTGGTGTTCAAATCTATCCCTTTATTCATAATCAACACCACGGATAGGTTGACCGGATGTTCCTGTGAGACCTAACACAGGGCGAAATATCCCAAATGTTGCAACCAGGAAGTGCTACAGAGAATCACGAGTTCGAGGTTGTTTTTATTTGTACACATCTGGTTTCTTCTCGTGTGAACACACCCGGCACCTGTAGAGCTCACAGGTAGGTGTTATAGACATCCCAATATTTATATATTCTCTCCTTTATAAAACCCTCTCTTCACTTTATATGTGACAGTATTTATTTGATGGATTAAATATTGGCATTGTACGTACTACTATCTTTTGTGTATCTTCTTAAATGGAACAAAGACAAAACAACACAGTAATACAAGTAGTTAAATAAACAGTGAACAAGCAAATCAATTAGTAAACAAACCAATTAAATACTAACATTGATGTATATGTTAGGAAGGGAGCTTGGAATCTTGTAAACTCCCATTTTAGTTTGGTTTAGTTTATTTTGTTCATATCAGTGTAATCCACAAACAAAACAAAACACTCATTTATGAACTAAAAAGGAGCAAGAAGAAGAAAAATCATATATTACCTGCCCCTTTATTATAAATAACATTATAATATATAGATAGATATGGCCATTTGATTTCCTTTCTTTTCACAGATCACACAACAGATCGCCACCATAATAACCATAATAACCATAATCATTACTCAACAAGTTCAAACAGTTTCATTACTTTTTCCTACATTTTTTATATTTTCTTGAAGTGAATAATGTTTCAGCAAGATTAGCATTTTTGTATTTAGCTTTGATGAGATTCTTTCTGTCCTCTTAATCTTCTCTTCCCACCAGCAGCAAAAGCCTCAGAAGCCTCCACCTCTCATGTACTACCCCAGCATCCACTTCAGCAAAGCAGCCAGCCTCTGCTGCCCTGCAAGGCCTATGTTCGCCCTAAATTTGACGAAACCCATGCAGAAGAGGTGCTTGAGAAATATGAGGGGGAAGGGGAGAAGCGGGAGGATGGATGAAGACGGCTCTGTCTTGTCACTGACACGGCTTTGTCTGCTCAGCCTCGCCGACAACATGAAGGACGTGTGGGCGAAAGACTACGCTGACAAGTACCTGGATCACTATTCATTCAGGCACATTATGGGGCCTTTCAACTTACTGCGTGAGTTTACCAGGGCTTATTCATCAGTCCTCTATCACCTGCCTGCTCCCACTTTATTGCATTTCAGTTTGGAACTGTTACTACACAACTGTCACTGTGTGTAGTTTAAGTGACTGTCATTGATCACACGTTTTGTCCATCTCCAACCATGTGAACTTTAGCAAATGTCATTCACCATATTAGCAAAATGTCTGTGATGTCAATAAAATTAAAGCATTTATTATCATGCAGATTGAGTTAGATGGTAAATAACTAGCTGTCTTTCCTAAACTACATCCTCATGTACAGACCTTTGCCCTATACAACCTCTCTGACCACAGAGGAACAGAGTAATTGATCACTTCTAATGCCTCCCTCTCTCTCTCTTTCCATCCTTATTCCCTGCGTAGCAGGAGAACTGGTTGAGGAGCTCACGCAGCTGCTGTGCTCTAGAAAACAATTGTCCCGCGCGGCCCTCCACCTCCTGCTGGTCCCCCAACTTCGTGGCCTGTCACTAGAAAGCTGTCCTGGTCTGGTCACCTCCGCCCTCTGTGCCCACATTACTGCACGCTGCCAGGTCAGGCTGAAACCAGTGTCTCCTGAAACCAGTGTCTTATACTACAAATACCTGAGAGTGTATTTAATAGTTAATAGTTGGGAGTCAGCTGCACTGATCTTATTCCTTTTTAAATACTGAAATACTATCTTATGGATGTATTAGTGTTTTTTAGAGTCATATATATATATATATAAATTGCTACATTCGAAAAGTTAACAAGTAATTGACAATTTTTTTCGGCGTCACTGGTTTATCCTACTCCTTCTTGCTGTTGCCTAGCAACAGAGCTGCAATTGGAAATGACATGTTTTAATACCCTTTGTTTTTCTTAACATGTTTACCTGAGTCAAATCAGGTCAATCAGAAGCCTGAATGCTTGCCGATGCCATAATCTCACAGGTCTTCAAATGCAGCCTATGAAGGATGCAGTCCCTGAATTGAGACACAGCTTGTATTTCCTCTTTTTTGTCTCAGGGTCTGTGTAGACTGGATCTATCTGGGGCCCAGCAGCTGCCTTCAAAGGTCCTGTGTGAAACTCTCTGCTGTCTGCCTGCCCTGCGCTCGCTCTCCCTGGCTGGTATGCCTTGTGACAGATGTGTGATCAGCACAATTGCCCACCGCTGCCGTTTGCTGCGCCACCTCGATGTATCTTGCTGTCATTTCCTTTCCCCTGCTGCACTCCTACCTCTTGGAGGTGGTGCCTTCTGCTCATCCTCTGCTCGTCCTTCAAACTCATCTTTTTGCCGCACCTCTACATCTTCACCTCCTAGTTCCTCTTTCTCCTCTGCCCCCTCGCCCTCCTTCTCTTCATCCCTGCCTCCTCTCCCCCTCATTAGTCTACTGGCTCTGGATATTGGGTTTGGGGAAGAAGATGGAGACAATGTGGTGGCTGCAGCCTACCTACTACTCTCTCTGCCTGGGCTGGAGAGAGTGGACATGGAGGGCCTTGCACAGGCCTGCTGGCTCATTGAGCACAGAGAGTTTACGCAGACAGAAGAGTTCAGTGACAGAGAAGGAGTTCTGAGGCTAGAGGAGGTGTGGAGGGAGAGGAGGAGCAGGCAGGGGGTCGACAGTTGGAAGAAGAAGAGAGAAGATGCAGCAACAGCAGGGGTTGAGGAACATGATGAGGAGGAGGAGACATTGTGTGAAGAGTATTGTGGTGACAGTGAGAAAGATGCAAGTACAGATGAAGGGCCAAGTTGCTCTCTGAACCAAGCAGAGGAAAAAAGGAGTGTTTTGTCAGAGTCGGGTGATAAACACCTGATCCTGCACCTAAAAGATGTCAAGGGTGTTACTTGTGACTTTCTGGAGAGTTTAAGCCGTTTATGTCCAGACATCTGCTCCATATCTGTGAATGCTGATGATGACGGTATGGGGAGAAGGCCTGTGTCTGTGTTACCAGCAGCCCTCCAGACATGGTCAGGCCAGCTGCTGAGCCTCTCAGTACAATTCTCCGGCCCTCTGGTTGATCTGCTTCCTGCCATCCAAGTTGTAGGCTCCTCCCTGGTCTCTCTCACCATGGAGGTTGTGAAAACCAGCCCCCAAACCCCTCTACTGGTGGTCATCAAGTCCTGTCCCAGACTCAGAGACCTACTCATCTTTGCTGAGCCACCCATCATGCCAGAGTTGGAAGATGAGGAGGAGGATCAGTGGGATGATCAGGGGGATGATCAGTGGGATGATCAGGGGGATGATCAGGATCTGCCACGGCTGCCTCACCTCTGCACTCTCAAACTCAAGTAAGGCTACTGTTGAGATGTAGTACAGCATGACTCACTTGAGGAAAGGAGTATATTTGAACTCTTGCAACATATCAGTGACATTTTAATTTGATGGATCCAGCAGATTAAATCAGATTATATTTTCGACATATATATAATTTATCCCTTGTCTTCTTTGTGTCTCCCATATGTCGACAGATTCTCTTACATTCACAGCCAAATGAAACCTGCCATGTCCTGGATGTCCCTGAGGAAGACGCTCAAGTGTCTCCTAAGTGGTTCTCCTTTACTGGAGAAGCTCACACTTGTCTCCCTGCCATGCCCTCTGGACTGCGTTTTACAGCGTGTATTGGGCCCACACCTTTATCCCCGTATGGACTGTATAGACATGCCACTCAAACGAGTACAGCACATTAAACTGCAGCGGACGGATGTGAGGATGGTAACAGTGAAAAACATAATGCAACACAGCAAGAGACTCAAGTTTGTGGATGTAAGATACTGCTGGGGGATCAATAAGGTTGAGTGGCTGAACTGCAAGAAGTTCAGTGAAGTCCAAGTGGTCTGGGTGTAAAGAAGTGTACTCTTTTGAATTAAAATAGAAATACAGCGCTATATAAATGTCATCTGTAATAATATAGGGATCTCTGTGTGACTATTACTGCTTATATTTAGACCTTGAGCAATGACCCTATTGTGGACCCTATTGAAGTTCATATTTTTATCCTCCTAATGAATCCCAAATATCACGGCCTAAACTTTTTCACAAAATTCAGATGTACGAGAAATTTACATTTTAAATGGTTTTCTGGCATGGGTGTGCCAAATTGATGATGTTTTACCAAAATGCATGAAAATGTGACCCATATTCCAAACCCAAAATGTAGTCAGCCATTTCTGATTGAGTTGTCATTTTTGGCAATTCACACACATCATACTTTAACAAACTCCTCCTAGAGGATTATCAGCTCGGCTTCAAATTACAGTACAATCTAAACACCTTAATGAAGTAAAAGTTGTGCTCTTTGTGAGTTTTTGCCAGAGGGCGTGTCCGTGGCATGGCATCTAATTTCAATGTTTCACCATGACACATTAAGTTGTTGTACACTACATTATCCAATCTGCACCAAAAATCTGTTTGTGTGTGTGTGTGTGAATACATTTTCCTTTTTTTCCCCCGGAACACTTTCAGTTCAAGGTTTGATTATGTTTGAAAAAAAATTAGGCTTCCTCTTTTACTGTTGTTTAAATTGTTCGCAGAATTGCGGGGGGCCAACTGTCAAATTACAAGCGAATCAGGTAACACTAGTATTATTTTAATCATTTACACACATTGATTTATTACTGATAACATGCTTATGTCGTGCAGAGAGATAAAGAGAGAAAAAATATATATGAAAACACAGTTTTGTTCCTGTCACTGTGTTTTTTGCTGGATGTGATGAGATGTGGATGCATGTGTTTTTGTGTCATATAGTATGTTTTTAAAATGAGGCGTGATGACAAATGACATCCCCCATGATGGCCACAGTGTTTGCCAATCTCAGTGGAGACGACCTGCAGAAAATCATCTGACTGTTGCTCAAGGAAGAGGCCTTCGATGTGATCTTCAAACTCTATATTTGTGACATGCGGATCACAGTAGTGTAGAGTAAACACCTGTGTGTGTGTGTGTGTGTGAGAGCTTTCATTGAATTCATCTTTGGCGTTTTTGACCTTTTTAAAATGCATTATTTTTATCTGTACCTCTGTTTGCTCAAGTCTCTTTATTACCTGCTATTTTTCTAATTTCAATAAATAAACTATGAATTTTAAACTCTCTTGGGTGTGTTTTTTTATGCCTCTGTGACTTTTGTCCACTACATTTAGTTCATCCTTGAGTCCAAATAAATGTTTTCACCAAATTTGAAGAAATTCAGTCAAGGAGTTTTTGAAATAGCATGTTCACAATCCGTACTTATTTGCTCTTATTGATTATTACTGATTTTATAACTTCACCTGTTGACTTGTATATTTTAGAATTGGTCAAATTCTCTCCAAAGTTAGTTCATGCTCATTTATAAAGATATTCTTTTTTACCAAATTGGAATTGAAAATCCAAATAGCTAAGAATTGGAATCAATAACCAGATGTTTGATCAATTCATTTTTAAATACCCAACCCTAGACAGGGGTCTCAAATTGTATTCAAAATGGTCTTACTATAATGAGTCATACACATCTAAAACAAATGACAGTATATTACTATTAAGTCCGTATTTAAATGAAAATGTGAATTTAATGTATCCTCTGTCTGAGAACTAATGAAGTGATACTACTGACAAAATATGACCGTTTTTATATCAGTTTTATATAATTAAACAAATTGACGATTCAAACACATATACTGAATCTTAGGGAGGTCCTTTCAAATTAAGATTGTCGAGTATAATCAAAACATTATAGAAAATCGATCTCTAATCTTACTCCACGCTCAAAGCCATAGATTCCACAGATGGCGTTTGTTTTGTTTGCATGTCGCCGCTGGGGTCGGTGTAGGGCGGCATTTGATTTTTTACACCGCCTGTAAACTTTGCTTCTCCTCCGGGCGGCGCGGAGAGGAAAAGCAAACACACCTCCGACGACACGAACACGTCACTCGCCGGAGACGTTCTGCCACATACTCGCTCAGCGTTAGCCAGCGGTTCGCATCTGGCTGCTCAGAAATGTCACGTCTTCGGGAAAACGGGAGACTTCCGCGTGTTTGCTAGTAAGTGTCGACTCAGCTAAAGGTCGCGAACATGTGAAGTTACTGTGTTTACACTGACGGCTCTGAAAACGACGTTAAATTCGGTTTAAGCTAGCCGCTGTAGCCGAGTGTCACTGCTCACAGCTAATGCTAATGCTATCTTCTGTTTTGGTTTTACAGCAGTGTTTCCCTGCGGTTCTAACAGATTGTGTTTCTAATTTAAATACATGAACCTTCACACTTACAGCATCGACAGACAAGAGAGGGCATGTGCGTCCTCTTCGTCTAACTTGAGGCCTTTGTCGTAGAAGAGCTCAGAACCTGAGGTTTTAATGTTGACTATTACATTGACTTGTTTTTTTTCTATCACAAGATCATGATGTAAATTGAGCAGAACGGAATGGAGCCGTGGAATAAGCCAAACCAGCCTCCCTCAATCGACTGATCAGTGATGTACGTCATCTAAAGTCTGAAGTTGAAGACAATTTGCAACATGGGGAGGTTTGTTGGATTTCTTTTGTGGTATTGTAACTTGATTCTCACACCTCTCATATCTGTGACATTACAGATCCTTTGTGCTGATTCTCTTCTTTCTTTCACCCGTTGACAGGATCAGCTTTTCGTGCCTCTTCCCAGCCTCGTGGCACTTCAGCCTGTCGTCCCAGGTTCTTCCTCGGCTCCTCGTCCCTTCCCTCAGACAGCTGCTCTTCATCGGCCTGGTGCTCTGCCTCATCGGACTGCTGTACCTGCTGCTTGCTACAGGAAAGGGGCACGCCAGCTGGATCAGGAAGGAAAATAATTTTCACAGGTAACCCATCAACCGCTGTTGGTAAGTGTTTATGTTATGAGGGCCACCGGTAATATTTCAGCACTGATAATCTTTTTGCTGTCCAAAAGGCACTTGGCAAGGGTGACTGATGTGGATGCGACGGATACCAGTAACCCCAACCTGAACTACGGCTTGGTGGTGGACTGTGGCAGCAGTGGCTCTCGAGTATTTGTTTACTGCTGGCCCAGGCACAATGGTAATCCACATGAGCTGTTGGACATCCGGCAAATGCGAGATCAACACCGTAAGCCAGTGGTAATGAAGATCAAACCGGGTAAGCACCCCAGAGCTAGACTTCTTAACCATCAATTCATATTTAAAATGAGAGGCAGTTTAACAAACAGTGCCAATTGTTGAATATTTCAAAACTCAAATGATTAAATATCCTCTAAGAAAAACTATTATAAGTTAGTCTGTTATTTACCCATTCTAAAACAAGATGTTTGGTCTTTGTTTTTTCCTTGTAGGTATCTCTGAATTGGCTAAAACGCCAGAGAAAGCAAGTAATTATATTTATCCACTGCTGAGCTTTGCAGCCCAACACATTCCCAGAAATAAGCACCAGGAAACACCCTTGTATATACTGTGCACAGCTGGAATGAGAATCCTACCTGAAAGGTACAGTTGGGTCTAATGAGAATAATATCAGATCTATATAAGACTGCATGAAATGTTCAGACTTCTGGTGAATACAGCACTGTTTAGAGCTGGACCGGACCTGACTAGTTTACAAAATTGCACCACTAAAGCTGCTCTCAGATATGCACTTAACTCTGGATAATCTCTTGACGTTATCCGGAGAGACTGTCGCAAATGCAAGGCTCTGGACTTTCTCTGGAGTTTCTCCTGCCAGCTCTCAATAAAAAAGTCTGCAGAGTGTCAGAATGAGCCAATTTAGGAACACAGTAGGAGATCCTCCTTAGGATTCATCTTGAGTGTCTGGGTGTGTTGCTGACATTTCTAATATTCGGTGGATGCAGAACTGAAATAAATTGATGAAAAAGTGATACAATACACGTAGAAGAAACTGACAAAGGGTTCAACAGAGCCGAAGCAGGTTTCGATGTGCTGTAAACAAAAACACTTGATCCCTGCTGCGTTGTTTGTGTAAAAAGCAAACCACGGATAAAGTCCAGACCCAATTATGCAGACACAGAGCTCATGTCTGAAAACGGTTTATGTGTTGCACTTGACCGGATTGACTCACTGTAAACATCTTTCATCCCCAAATTTTGAAATTTGAGCTCCTACATGTTGTCGACCTCTTTGCACACAGCTCGTCAGATACTAGGATTAGATTACACAATAGCTGCTAATCAATTTATAAATGAAGAATGATATGTTTACCTTGTTGCTTATTACTAATACATCAAGTAGGATTTAGTGCTGAGATGCAACACAAACCTTTGTGGTTTTAACAATCATTACCCATCATTAAATCTAACTGGTTAAAACTCCTACACTTGACTGGACTGGCAAAACCGGCATCAACCTAATCAACAGCACTGACCATTTTGTTTCGTAAAAAGAAAAACTGACACTCATGATGAAGTTCTGGTGTTTGTTTAACCTCAGTCAACAAGAAGCACTTCTGGAGGATCTGCGCACTGACATCCCAGTCCACTTCAACTTCCTCTTCTCTGACTCCCATGTAGAAGTCATTTCTGGAAAACAGGAAGGTAAATACAAGGAAATAGACAGCAATAAAAAGCAATAGCCTCAGCTTCAATCTTCTGCCTCAAAACATCATGACTTAATAAAGCATTGTTTGTAACATATTTAATACAGCACAACTGATTCATTTCTTCATGGAGGCTGACAGATTTCTTGCCAGTTCTTGTAGCTGTTACTCAAATTAAATAAGACACATCTGCATTAGCTAAATTAGTGGGTGTAGGATTCTCTTTTTTTAATTAGTTAACTAATTAAAACTAGTGTAGCATTGGCAATTCTGAAAACATTTCATGCAATAACTTAATAAAAAAATTTTTTGTTGGTTTAGGTGTCTATGCATGGATTGGAATAAACTTTGTCCTTGGAAGGTTTAACCATGTGCACAATGGTAAGAACCCAACAGGTAATATATTGAGTACATCCTTGCTTTGCTTTTTTGCAATTTAACAGCTAATGTGCTACATTTTACCTAATAAAAAAGCACTTGTATGTTAAACAAGTCTCTAGTTACACAGTAATTGTGTGATATATCTTCCCTGCCTGATTGTCTCACATTTCCACTGTCAATTGTTGAAGATGGGGAGGCTGTAGTTGAGGTTAATGTCCCGGGCAGCGATCAGCAGGAGGCGCTGGTGAGAAAGAGGACTGCCGGTGTCCTGGACATGGGCGGGGTCTCAACACAGATTGCGTACGAAGTGCCCAAAACTGTAAGCTTTGCTTCTCCACAGCAGGTTATTATCCACAACCAATTCTGTTTTTGTGCCGTCTTTGGTTTTTTGTCACTCACCCTTTGTTCTTCTCCCTCCTTCTTACATTCCCTGATTAAACCTGTAAGCACCGTTTTTGTCCCGTGGAGATCATCTGCTCTCCATTCATCACTGTTGAACGCATACTGTAAGCCTGCTGCATGACTCCATAGCAGGATTAAGGTTATTAATGTAGAGATCATCAGGTATGATGAAAGTTGTCAGTGCAAGGATGTTTTGTTTGTGTCGTTGTGACTTATATACAGTAGAAGGTTTATATACTGTCTATGCTGAATTTTCACTAATTAGATTTACTAGATTTTATTAGTTTTATCTTCTGTTGCGTGATATTTTTAAATACACATAACTGGACATAACATGAGTTAGCCCCATGAGTTAGCCCCACGCTTGTTGTGACCTGCTTTAGAAAACAGTTCTCTGTCATCTAGAAAATGGTAAACTGATATGGATGTGTGTGGGATTATTCGAGGTTCCTCATTCCCAGGTGGATTTTTGTTTGTTCCCATAGGAGGAAGTTGCTAAGAACTTACTGGCGGAGTTCAATTTGGGATGTGACGCACATCGCACAGAGCATGTTTATCGTGTTTATGTGTCCACCTTCCTGGGTTTTGGAGGAAATGCAGCACGCCAAAGATATGAGGAAAGCCTCACCAGAAACACTGCCACTCGAAACAAGTGAGATCCTGTTGTTTCCACATTTCTTTTGTAAATGTTTTGGTGTGTATTCACACTGTATTACTTGATTCTTTCAGGCTCATGGGTCAGCAGATCGGT